TTGTGTATCTGGTGAGCTCATTGAATAGAAAAATTTAAGGTCATTATCCTTTGTTGATATTTTGATCCTTGTGCAAAAAAAGTCATACCTGTGCAAACATACCAGCTGTATGCAKTTTTATAGCATCTTGTTTTTTGCTCATGGACTTAGGTTATGCCACAAGCTTTTTTTCCCAGTGGGGTTTATTGCATAGTCATCAGTTCAAACACAGGAAGGGTTAAAGAATAGCATATGAAAAAACACAAATTATTAAAAGAAATGTGAGATTTTTGTCCAGCAGTGATGGTGTGCAGCCTACTCTGAGAAGGCACCAAAGCGTGTGMGGCTTCAAAGTGTTTAGATTGTATTTTCAAATCAGATCTGTATTTTTATGTATCTGATTACAATGTTTTGAGTTTAAAATATTCAGTTTAAAGTATTAACTCTAAAATGTTATGTCTTTAAAACAAAGACTATAAGTGGACCTTTTAATGGTCATAATTTGGGTATTTCCTTTACCACATTCACATTTGAGGATTGTTATATTTGACTTCTGTATTACACTGACCTTAAATTGAGAGTTTTCTTTCTCAAATTGCTAATTTAGTCACCGGAGAAGAGGAGGAAAAAGAAGAGGCAAAATCTTTGTAATGATTTGTTTTCATTGAGCTAATCACCCAGAATGCCACACAAAGTTCTGTTCATCTTGGCTGATCCCAGTCTGTAATCCCTCCAATCTGTCACGGATTCCAGTTGCTCCACTTTGAGTTCTAGAGCACAACCTTGTATTTAGACTGCCTGTGAGAATGTGTTCATTTATTTGTGTGTAATGTGTCTGTTCACCTATGGTCTACACCTGTATTTGTTTTAAAATACATTTCAGAGCACTTTTGTTGTTTAAAATACTGTTACTCCTGTGTTTTGAATTTGATATGAAATTTAGTCTTTCACTGTATCTTCTAGAAACTATGTAGATGTTCTGTCTGTAAAAAGTAGCTATCTGTTTATCTTTTTAACCATTGTAAAATTAGTTTAATTAAAAAGCCATTAGCAGCTGGTTGAAGCTGATCAAATGAATATGGTTGAAACCAGGAGAAAGTAATGCGTTAATGCTCTTAATTTAGACTGCTAACTCATTGAGGTTGCCATATATGGTTCGAACATCATTCGAACATTTAAGTATAAAAGAGTGGCTGTTAGTATTTGACATTATTGGAACATTGATGTAATATTGTGCCAGCTACCAACTAATCAAAGAAAAGACTACAATGACCYGTTTTTGTACGCTTTAGACCAGCTGATTTATTGGTTCAATGAAAAGCTCTAGAATAGAAGAATTGATTAAAAACAGGGCAAGATGGGACCTGTACTTGTCAGACCCTGTATGATTCCATGGGTCTGTTTTTTATGTGCAAATGAGTAATTTAGAGTAGGGGGTCTGTCTGAGATAAGAAACTATTTGGTTTCCTCCATTTATTTTCTCACTCAGTAAGTGTTCGCCTTTCCCTCCCTGGTCTCCAGTCTGCAGGCCTACTTTGATGTCAGCATGAGTTTGCCAGCAACCTGCAGAGGAAAAACAACAATAACAAAGAGTGTGTTTACCTAGCAGTGGTCTACATGCTTCTGCTAATCTGCTGAATCTTTGTGAAATGGAACAGTTTTTTTAATGTTTTGATTTCACAGATTGGGTAGTTGCAGACGATCTCAGCTGGCCACTAATCCCTGCCAGCATTTTTATAATATCCTAAACTGGGTTTRCAGAAAAGTTTGCCAGTGTAAATGCAGAAGATATATTCTTACTTTGCTTATTCTTAATCAGGACAAAAGAAAAYACAATCACCTTTTAGCAATAAAAACAAATTGTCTTGTTGAAGACCATGTGAAAACTTCAAATGACAATCTTCAGTTGCAGTGAGACTGTCTGCTGCCCTTATGCTGCGTTCCACTTGCAGTGGACTGACGTCAGTTCCCATTTTACAAATGTATACATATTTTCTTTCAGGCTTTACATTTTGACAACTATTTGCACATAAATAACATTTTCAGTAAGGGATATCACTGCAGTTGTTATGGAATTTGTTAATTCAAGAAAAATAGAGTGTCTGTTGTGATGTGGTTGCTGAAGGTGGTAGAAGGGTTCAGCTGAGGTGTTAAGCTGTTTAGGTGGATTGGCCCTCCAGACGGGCTTAATACACTACCTGCTGGTCTCTGACTGAGTTACAAATCTTCAGGGGGACAGAGGTCATGYATGGGCTTCCTGTATCAGACCAGCCTCCACTGGTGCCCACTTGCCCTCTGAATAGGGGGTCTACATGTCACTCACACTTTGAGGGTTTGTTTAATTTTTCAGTTTTGCTCATAGTCTCAAAGTCCCAAAGGTTTTGTAACAATTGACAACCCTCAAGTCCTTCTGGCCATTCTGTCCCCCCCATGCATCTCATTGTTTGTGTCTTTCTTTTTAACCACTGTCATCACTGCTCAACTGCTAAGTTGAAGTGCCTTTAGGGTAGGTAGCCCCCTTTTCCTCATTTTTTTTCTTCTTTTTTTTCTTATCCTCTCCTGCCTTAAATCCTGTCCTGTGCACTGATGTGGTAGTAGAGGGCTCAGTTTACCCGGCAGCAGCTGAGGCAGGCTTCATCTGTCCCAGGGCTTCCTTCTCAAAAGGCATTTTTCACCTCTGGAGAATTGCTCACTGCCCACAGTGACATTGAGCGCTTAATTGCACTACTGCCAAATTTGGAAATCTTTTACTTTAGTATCAGTTCAAGCTCATGAACTCAATGTACTTTTGGCTTGTAGGGTTGGACATTCCTTTAGATTCAGATGAAAGTACAAGCACAGAATACCACTTTAATTCCAGTCTGCTCATCTAGTATATTGTAATTGGAGCAAAATATTAAAAATTGACTTTCATTTTTACTATCTTTCATTTTTATAAATCATRTAAGATTTAAATTTATAACTGAGGTGAATGCAGAGAAATAAATTTACATCTTAATTTGTGCCAAAAGCAATTTTTAACATTATCAGCATTTAGTTTTTYTGTATACCAATTTTCACCACCTTTTATCAAAAAAAAAACCTTTCCTTTTGCAGTTCAAACTGTAGAACATGTTCAACACCAAATTGTCACTATTGGGAGATAGATAATCTATTCCATCTTGCTTYACTTACTTAAGCTCAGCAAACATGTTTATTTCTAAAGAATGTTTGCACAGTGTTCTCATTTGAATTTTTAGAAATCAAGTGCATGTCTAGGGAGTCCCCAGTTATGTTTGGTTTAGACACCTTCCATGTTATTTTGGTTACGTGAAGGAGTGACTCCTGGGACACTTAAATACCAAACACATGTGATTCTCTTTTTCTCTGTCCAAAATGTTTGACTAACTCACTACTCAGACGTACTGTGAAGTTTTAAGGTATAGTGTAACTTGTTAGCTGCCTCAATGTTGGCATTGGACACATTTTTTTGTTTTACTTACCCATGAGTGCTAGCAAACACTTGTGCAGGGCGTCAAAGACGGATCTCTGAGCGGCGTTTAATCATGTTGGTC